CAAAAAAAAATCACATATAACCAATCAATATATGACATTAATTAGTTTTGATTTTCTTAGAATGTCGCACACCCCAAAATCTTACCTACCTATTGTTATTTTTTGCAAAAAAATTTATTGCCTACTGGATTTTCTTCTGCTTTTTTGAGTTCATCTATTCAGGTAAGAACTTGATCTGGGATTTCATGCATATAAAAAGGTTAATTTCACAACCTTCTAATGTTTGAAAATAGAGGATTTTAAAAAATTTTAAATTTAAAAAAACACATGAAATTCAATAGGTCAGACACAGGGGCCCACCCCAACATGACTGAGTTTACATATTAATATGTAATAATAAAATTAATATTATTGAAGTTTAATTCATTTTATCCATGTCCATAATGTCCATACTGTGGGATACATATTTCGATGAGACACCTCTGAAAGATTATAGTTTTCAAGGCTTTTATGAACATCAGTTGAAACAAACAAACTTTACTTCCTCTTTTTGAAAGGAGTCTCACAGTCTGAAAAGATCTTGCAAATCTAATAAAGGATGGCTCAGATGAAATAAAAAAGTTTTCCAGTCTGCTGTATGATACTCATAAGGCAAAGTTTTATTCAGTTTTTCTATTGTATTTTTTTGCATTGCTGGTTGACTTATGGGCTGCTGAACAAGATTTTAATGGCTACTCTGCATGCTGGCCACTTACTATCTTGTCTATTTGTACTACACGTTAAGTTTTCAATTGTAGGAGGGACCCACACAACTAAGGATATTCATATAAAGATTTCTGTTGTAAATATACCTATAAAATAAAAGTAATTAAAATTATTACAATTATTACAATTAATTAATTAAATTATAAAGTTTAAAATAATCTTACATTAAAAGAACCTCAAATACATTTGGAGAAATATCTCCTTTTTCAAATAAAATAATATTGTCATCAGATTTTTTTACCCAGTTATTTGATAAAGCAAGCTTTAAAATATGAAGATCTTGCTTTAGGATGCTAGAATGAGCTTGACATCCTCATCTGCTCCAACTCTAATTTCTACATCATAAAAATCAGATTCATTTATAAGTTTACCAACATGTTTTAATGGAAGAGCATTGTTGTTAGAATTGATAAGGTTGTTAAATAATAAGTTTAAATTTTCCAATGATGGGAAGCAAGTTGTCATTTTGTTGAATTTGTAATAAATAAAATTTTTTTGATAAAAATTTTGTATTAAATTTATTTAACTATCCTATATATAGACTTCACATTATTCTCCAAATGAGCTGAGATAGCTTGAGTTCTGGTGAAAAATGATAACTTGAGCTTAATAAATTTTTTTTAATTAATTTCACTATTTACCTAATTTGTTTTCTTGAACTCAGCTCGAACTTGAAATTCAAGTTCTATCTCGAGCCTGCTCAACTTAGGATTTTGAATTTGAGTATTGAATAAAATAGATAATTTGAACGAATAAAACAGGTAATTTGAATAAAACAAATAAAAATTTGTATTATGAATAGAAACTCTAGTTCGATGCAATAATAATGAAGATTTCATTTTAATTTTCCACAAATACCTGAGCAAAAACATTGTGAAATGTTAAACAGTCAAATTTCATTTGAATCCATTGGGAAAGTTGCATTTAAAATTCGATATTATTATTATTATCTCATTCATTAATATATTATTTTCAATTAAAAAAAAAAACCACAGCATAAGCATAAATTAATTAAATTAATTAATAATGTCAAAAAGAAGAATTGAGATTGACAATTACAATAATTACAATGACAATGATAAAGTAATTATTTTAGACAGAGAAAGCACCTTTTTAGAATCTGAAGAGAGTGTTTACATTGAACCTGAAGGAAATATTAACAATTATAACAATTATGATGATTGTGGTAATGACAATTATGGTGGTTGTAATTATGATAATGATGATATTGATAATGATAATGATAATGAGCATGATAATGGTGGTGGTGGTGGTGATGGTGGCAGGATTAATTCTATCAAGACCATTGGTATTTCTAAGAATAAAAGTTCAATATGGACACATTTTGATAAACAAATGGATGAAAAAGGCATAAAATGGGCTAAATGTAAATATTGCTTGTAAGTAATTAAAATAAATTGCATTACTTATTTTTTTTTTAAAAAAATTACTAATTGTGTTAATTATATTAAATAAAGACATGGGAAATATAATATGAATAGTGGCTCTACTTCAAATTTAAGTCATCATCTTAAGAATCATAAAAATAAAATTGATGTTAATGTAAATAAACCATCAATGATGTTGGGCAGTAATAGTGAACATATTGTGTGTACTGTATATATTTAAATCAATTAATATATCTGCATTTGTAATTTTCTTAATCTGTGACCCGTTGACCCGACGGGACGGGTCGGGTCAACTGTTTAAAAGTCCGAGTCGGGTCGGGTTGAACCACTGACCGACCCGACCCGACTCATTCGGAGCTCTACCTTTAATGTCATATAGTTTTGATCTGGGAATTAATTCATCTTTAATGCCATATAGTTTTGATCTGGGAATTAATTCATCTTTAATGCCATATAGTTTTGATCTGGGAATTGATACTATTAGTAATAATTCATACAAGTCAGCAGAAAAAATTACTGATAGTTTTGATCTGGGAATTAATACCATTAATAATAATTCATGCAAGTCAACAGAAAAAATTACTGATAGTTTTGATCTGGGAATTAATACCATTAATAATAATTCATGCAAGTAGTAGATAACAGTATATATATACTGTTATCTACTTACGTTAGACTGTTGCCTACCTATGATTAGATTGATACCTACTTATTTTTGGGTACCCGTTTTGGTGCCTAATTGGCTTGATATTTGCTTCCTTTCGATGAGGTTTTCGGCTTTCTTTAACCCTTTGATTGCTTTCATCGCCAGAGGCTGAGGCACGAAGTGCCGATTGTGAGGGCTATGCCCGAACTGGATGCAAAGCATCCTGGTTTGCAAATCCACGATGATGTAATTATTAATAAATTAGACTATTTCGTGGTCATCTGCATCTTCGAGTTTCAAAAATTTGGAATGGGCCACATTCGAATTCCTAGACTATGACTATCCCATCTATGTGGCCAAAAATTTGGAATGGGCCACATTCAAATTCGAGGTACAATACCAAAAAAGTGTGCTATGTTTTTCAGCTCTGGAATCCTTTCTCACATAATTGGTATTTTCTATGTCTATTATTTACCTACCACTTGCCTACTACTACCAAATTTTGATATCCAAATGCTTTGATGGCCACCAAAATTTTTGATGCTTTTTAGTGGTCTATCCTATAGATTATTAATTTTTGAGTTTGGGATTTTCAGTGTAAATTAGAGTATGAACCAGACCTAAAACCAAATGATCTGTTGAAAAATGGTCAAAAGAAGAACACGATCAGGTTATCAAATTAGTAACAGACCGTTTCCTGTATTTAGCTTGGCAGGAGAATACAAAGGAAATGGACGTATATTTATCAAATTGGAGTCATGTCCAATATGCAAAAATAGGCATAAGAAAGACTTGATATATGGCGAGCGGGATAAACAAATTTATTATAGTAGAAACACTTATCACGTCAAGTGTAGGAACAAATTACTGGATTCAGGAATCAAGATAACTACTGGAAAACAGATTTGACCAAATTGATAGTTGAGTGATTTCGAGATTTTTGTTTTATTTTTTCAATCTTTATTGCATAAAATGTTCATGGATGTACCAAAAATATGACAATTGTGGCATATCAATGTAGTAATAAATAGTATTAAATCATTTAATAAAAAAATTTGTATTAGTTCATTTTAAACTTTAGTATTAGGTTCAATCCTTTTGGATTTAATGGTAACAGATCACATGTTTTCAGATCAATTTTATATATATGAGAAATAATTCGTTTGGAGATGTGCTACTTCATGGATACTTAGCACTATCGTTTTCCATCATGTGCATCAAAAGATTTGCATCATTTACCGCTCTTTTTACATTCCTTCTAATATTTTTTCAAGTTGTGGTATTGAAATTTAAGCAATTAGCCTTATGAAGTACATCATTAACATTTTTTTTGTCTTCTAACTAAATCTAAGAATTTTAGGGAAGATTAGCTATGAAATTGGTTAAAGCAACTTCATTTGAAGATTTTAAAAATTTATATCCTTGTGCTACTTCATGCACGAATGCAAGCTGGTCTAGGATATCGTTACCGACAAGAGCGCTGTCTACTTGGTTGCCAGGATTTTGTTCCCAGACTCGGAGTGTGTCTATACTCACCCACTTAGTCCAACCATTATCATCCCCAATTGCAACTTCAAATGTTGTTGATGCATGAACCAGGAGAGCAGGTGCTCCATATCTGGTAGTAACACCAAAGTAAGTTTTCCATCCTCTTCTTCCAAATATCCTACGGACATGATAAGGAAGGATCGTTTCTGGTGCACCTGAATCAAGAACAGATTTATACAACTTATTGTTTTCTACAGGATCACGAAAATTGTAACCAAGCATAACAGAATTTGTCGTTCCTAATCTTCTAACTTGAATTCTGACCTTTATTGTAAATAAGCAAGTAACACAAATACATATTGATTATTTTGCACTAATTTTATCACAGATTTAAAACACAACAATTATTCAAAGATCAGACCAATTGTTAATCCCTAGTACGTAGAGCACACACTGTCCTTGCTGGCAGAGCTTTCACAAGTCTGTCACGATGCAATTTATCAACTGGTAAATATACTGCACCAGGCATTTCATCTTCGAGGTCTTCTAGCTCTTTACTTGTATATTCTGATGTCCCGTATTTTTTCACTTCCTGTTTATACACCAACACCCAGCTGTCTTTATGTTCATCGAATGTGCCTTTATCGATACTGTCAAAGAAAAAAAGGAGGTTGAGCCCAGCTTCATCATCGTATTCCAATGGATCTTCATCGGTTAAGTAAAAGAAAACCGTGCGCTTGTCACAATCATCCATTGAGACAGGCCATCTAAAGTTCTGACCCACACGATCTACAAAGAAATTAGTTAGAAACAGTGTAAAAGCACTGCCATATGTATTGTTGGTATGTTGTTCAGGGAAATTTCGGCCTTACCCAGAAACTTTTGTGATTGCCCTGGATTTTTTTCATACTTGCGAAGGGATTCAAGAGTCTCAAATGGGTTGGACATTTCTGTCGTGGTAGATGTGAGTGTTTTGGACGGATTGAATGCTGTATTATTAAGTGTTTACTTGAGAATTAAATCATTTATTTAATGACTCTGGAATGTTTTGGTCAAACTAACAATGACAAAAACCTGATGCTTTCTTTCTGATGGACTTCAAAAGCTTGGGTATCTTAAATATCTTCTTTTCTGTAGATATCATTTAATAAGGTTAATTAATAACTGCAAGACAGGTGATGTAGATTTAAGAGATTCAAATCCAGTCATGGTACTTACGTTTCTCTTTGTCATTAAGTCTCAGGTTAGTTGTTGCAGAAGTATTAGACATGATGGTTTATTATCACTCGGATAAAACTAATGTATGAAAGAAAAGATTTTTTATGAAAAGTACGAATTGAGGATATATATTTGTAATAAAATATAATTAGCTCGTGTCATGTGCCATGTGGCGCAAGAATCAGAATATTAATATTAGTATGAAATGAATGAATTCATCATATTTTCAATGCAAGAAATCATTTGATTTAAAGGAAACTGATGAGAAAGCTATCAAAACAAGTGGTTGCTTCACAACTGCATTCGAGGCATCATGTGAAAAGTTTATAAAAATTCGAAAACAATCTTTCACTTTAAGTCTCGCACAAGAGAAATTCCAGATCTTAAATCAGCTATAAAAGCAATTGTTGGTAATTATTGTGGTTATACCATAAAAAGTAAACGACCTAAGGATAATACTAATTGCATTACAACAATTTAAAAAAAGTGACAATAATAAAATTGTTCCAAATTCCAAATAATAAAAAAAAGATGAATGTGAACAACAATAATAAAATTGTTTAATAAAAAGACAGAATAAACAATAAATCACTGAATTCCAAGAAATTTGTATAAATAAAGATGAAATTTTCTTTTATTAAATTTTTGCACAATTAAAAAAATGTCTCGACAATCATCATCATCCATTCAAAAACATGTATTGATCATCAGTACCATGGATTTGTTGAAAGGAGGTTTGACTGTATTAGCATTAGTATGTATTAATATTTAATATTAATATTAATGTTGTATTAGTATTAGTATACTAATTATAATACTTTTTATTATTATACGGATATTCGGATTCTCTCTAATGGGTATTTTTTCTGTATATCACTCCTAAAATCAGAATATCTCGTCACTTTAATTGTTGTTTTGCCCACATTATAATTTTTTAAATTAGACTTCTTTAGGAAGTTATTGGTGATCAAACCTATGTAAAAGGACAGTTATAGTAATAGTAATATAAATTGTGTACTTTTGATTATTTATTTTTGGCAAAAATGAATTGTAAAATTTTGATGATCGTGCATGCACTAAAAAAAAATAGCTTTAAGAAGCATTTATGCATTTAACAAGATTTATATTACTAGCCTATTTGGTACAAGTATTTCCTTAAAAAAATTAACAATTGAATTAATTATATACCAACCAAGCCTTTTCATTCACAAATTCTTTTTTTTTTTAACAATCC